ATTAATCTAAATTACTTCTACGGTCCCTGCCTGCGTTATTGGAAACTTATCTCGATTGGGGTTTGTAAGTATTGAAAAACACCTTGTGATGAAAACATGATTTAGATTATATTTGTTTATTTTTGGAAAATGAATTTGGATTTGTTTGCTAATCTTGTTTTCGGGTCTTGGGGTGTATAATTTTGTCTTTCTTGTGTCCTTAGGGTTTAGCGACAATACCCTTTCAGGGCCTCTCCCTAAGGAACTTGGAAAACTTTAGAAGTTAACTTATCTGTAAGATTGGCTTACTTTCTCCTTTCTCTAATTTTTTTTTTTTTTTTTAAATTTTAATGATAGCAAGATTCAAATAAATTCTCTACGATTATTTTATTAAATGAAAGCAGAGAAAAAAAATCCAATTGTTAATTAAGGAAAGATTTTAAATTGGGAACTTGAAGAGATGACTTCTTTAAGTTAGACTTAGATTTCCTATGTTAGATCTTCCTCTTTAAATTGAATCGAATTTGGATGACTTAGTACTATTAAGGTAGATTTCTACTATTTTTTTTAGGCCATGATATCTTCTTTTCTTTCCGTCTATTTTAATTCTTCTCTTATATTCTACGTCACTGACATATAGTTATATGGGGACAATTGTGAGATGATCTTTTTTATTATTCTGAAACTGATAGCCATAATCACTCTTTAGCCTAGAAAAAAAAAAAAAATGGAAGTCTTAAGATAAAAAAGTGTCTGATGGTTCAATGTGTCACATGTTATGTTTAGGAAAACTCAAAATCACAGTTGGAACTATTGTGCTTATACATAACTTGCAATAAATATTTCATGAATTCTGCTTGAATAACGTCTTACAAATGCATGAATTAATATAAAATAATGAGCATTAGAGAGTTAATTCTTTTGATACATTTCATGCAGGGCTATAGGTTTCAACAATTTCTCTGGAACACCCCCTCCTAAACTGGGATTCTTAGACAAACTAGGGAAAATGTAAATTCTTACTTATTTGTTTAAAATATTTTTTCTGTATTTAGTTTCCGAGTAAAACACTAATTTTTACACTTGAGATATATGTCTTATGAAAATAAGAATTTCTTTATTGGTAGACTTTAACAGTTACATAGATAGTTCTGGAGTGTGTGGGGAAATTCCCTCGACTTTTGCTAATCTTCAAAACATGAAAATAATGTAAGAAAGATCCTTTCCACATGTTTATGGCTTTCTATTTCTGCTATGCTTGAAGATTACATTGCCTGTACTCCGCTTACAATAAGTGATTTGTTAATTTCAGGTATGCAACTGATTGTAAATTGACAGGCAAAATACCAGAGTTCATTGGGAACTGGAACAAACTTATAGTGTTGTAATATATGAAAAACTTCTTTCATGATATTCGATTGTATCATTGTGAATGGTAACAAATATTTTCTCTACCTCTGTCTAGATTTAAGCACTCTGATTATTTTGTTGACAAATACTTATGTAGGATATTTGGAGGGAATTCACTTGAAGGTCCTATACCATCCAGTTCTTCTAATTTGACCTCATTGGTCAAATTGTGAGTATAATTCAAATAGTACTACTCCCTCAAAAGCTAATTCAAAAAATAATAACTTGACACGATATCATATCAGTGATGTTTGAATTAATTGTGTAGGCAAATCACTGACTGAAACAATGTTAGCTCGTCTCTAGATTTCATTAAAAGTATGAAGAACTTGACTTCTTTGTAAGTTACTTATACTCAGTGGCGGACCCAGGATTTTTGCCCAGGGGGGGCCCTCGCTCCGCCACTGTTTGCCAATCAACTAGTGAAAACATAAGAAAATAACATCCAATTCACAAGGAAACACAAGAAAATTGTTACGTGGAAAAACCTCTTCAATGTGAAGAGATAAAAAAACCACGGGAATATAATCTAACGATCCACTTAAATCCAATATAATCAAAAGAGTTTACTGATGCATATTTTTGACAAACATGCAAATATAGCAAGTACACTAGTCGCAAAAAGTAATAAAGTGATAAGTAGAGTATCGTTCCCACGAGGATAGTGTTACTAATTACCGATTTCTCTAGTTTAAGTCCTAATTGAAGCAACAATAAATTGGATTGATGGAAGATTAACAAACTAAATACAAATGCAAAACCCAACAACTTAACTAATTAAACAATTCTAAAACAAATGCTAGGGTGTTGAATTCACCTAAATACGCTAACCCAAATCATAGAATCTATTACCCAAGTTCTAATTCCTTGATTGAAAATCGAATTCCCTAAGTTGTAAAACATACATTCTCATGCTACATTTCCCTACTTATCCCTATTAAGCTTCCGCACCCAACAAAATGAAGATTAATAGTTCAAAGGATTTTAAGCTTTGTGGAATTCTATCTAGATTTCATAGATCGCTAAACCTATCTCTAGCGTTTGCTTAATCTACGGTATTTATCCCAAGAGGCACAATCACAAATCACTTCTCAGTCTCATTGTGAACAACACACATTTGAATGGTGATCAAGCATCCAAAAGTCATTAAGCAAAGAGATAAACACTCAATCATGAAATTAAAACTCAAAGTAAATCAATTCATATAAATTTGAATCATTGTATCAAGGTTACATCAAACCTCAGCTAAACAACTCAGTTCATACTCAAAAACAAAATAAAATAACAAAAACAAACTGAATCAAGATTCATCATTGAAAAACAAACAAAAGATGGAGAAATCTTCTCTAATTTGAAGCCCAAATCTTCAATAATCTTCTCCTTTCAAAAGCTGCCTTCCAAATGACGAACCAAGGCCCTTTTTCTTTCGTTTTCGTGCTAATTTATACCTCTTTCACTTAAGGACCAAGCCCTAGCAAGCCAAAATGCGTCGTTTTATTTTTCACATCTGACGCAGTTTCGCCGCAGCGAAGCTTTTTTCTTGCCGCAGAGAGAATATTTCGAGCCAAATTTGAGCATGAAAGAGTCTTAATATGGAAAAGTGTTAAAAATATGAATTGTAGCCCTTTAAATTATGTTTCAACTCGTTGAAGAATCAGAACAATCCGAGGTCTACAGCTCAAGTTATGGAAGAAATACTGAAGCACATCCAAAGACGTTTTCCTTCGGTTTCCAACATACTGTTCACGACTTCAAGTCAAGTTTTCACCCTTGTCCAGTCAGAATTAGGAAAAACCCAAAACATGAAAGTTGTAGCTCTGCTTCTTAGCTTTCCAAAACTTTTAAAATCAGGTCATTCTAAGTTCCCAAGCTCAAGTTACGTAATTTACGCTCAAAACTGTCATCTATACTCAAAATCATCGTTTAGGCCTACAAAGACAAATTAATAGAATTAGGTAGCAATTATGACCCAATTTGTATGAGAAGTATCCTAAATCCTATCAAAATTCAATACAAAATCATAGGGAAAAATAGGATTATCATTTACAATAATCACAAATTCACCAAAAATATTCTACATAAATTTAGAATTCAATCATAACTCTAATAAAAGTAAAATACACAAAAGTTTACAAAAATATGGATTACAATCACTCCAAATTCAGATATGCATGTAAAAGGGAAGGGAAGTTGAGAATTGGGAAAGAAAACTTGAATATAAAAAAGGCAAAACCTAACTTTTTTCTTTTTTTTTTTACCTTTTAAAAAAACTTCTCAAATTTTTTTTAAAAGTTGAGGGCAGGCCTGGGCCTACCCTCAAAGGGCCTGGGTCCGCCCCTGCTTATACTCCATTAAGTTATAACTAACTTTTTAGTTCCTGATACTTTTCTTTTGAGCTGTTTCATTTTGACATTGTCTAACTTTTTTTCTTCATAGATCTCTAAGGGGCGGACCCAGGCCCCTTGAGGGTAGGCCCAGGCCTGCCCTCAACTTTGTAAAAAAAAATTGCAAAGTTTTTTTGGAAGGCTAAAAAAAAAAAAAAAAAGGTTAAAAAATGAAAAAGTTAGGTTTTGTCTTTTCCTTATTCAACTTTTTCTTCCCCAGTTCCCAACTCCCTTTTTACATGCAGCTGAAGTTCAACCCAGAAATTAAAAAAATCCCCCTCTCAACTTCTTTCATTCACGTCTCTTGAAGCCTGAAGGTTAGTATTTCCTTATTTAATGACATATTACTGCTTTTGAAAAATCTTATTGATGCCTACAGTTTTAGTCTTTTAGAGTATTGGGTTTGGGTGAAAAGTTTTAGTAGTGGCAGACGCAGTTTTAATGAGACAAATAATAGGTTAAAGAAATCTTTTCTATTATTTTTGACTTTGTTTTCTTGGCTCTTGTTTGTATGTGAGAAAGAAGATTGTCATTATCACTTTTAAAACTTCCTTTCTAAACCACACAATGGGCGCCTGCTCTATATAAACGAATGGCCTCCATCTTATACAATTAAATATTTAAATGTATTATATATGGTGTGTAACCTGTGTTAAATAGGTGTGTTAAATTAAAATATGTCTTAGGTATCATGTGTCATGGTTTGTTCATGTATCTTATTCAAGAGAAAATTAAGTTGCTAAATTAATTTTTTTTTTTTTTAATAGGAATCTCTTTGTCTCTTATTTTTGGGATCCCACTTTAGTACTAATTCATTATATGTTTATCGGATTTGGAATCCAAAGCATTAACAAATAAGATTTGATATCCAATTATTTCAAGAGACTGAAGAAAAGTCCAGCAAAAAATGTTGATGGAGACTCTACTGATATTGAGGTTAATCAAACCCCATAAGAAGAAGAAACCCCACAACAGCCACAACAACACCAAGAAAAAGAAGCTCAACGTTCAATCGGGGTATTCAATTTAGATGAGCTTGAAACTGACCCAGGATTGAGGATACCAATTAACGAGCTTTGTTGTACTGACAAACAAAAAGAGGAAGTTCGAAGAGCATACTTGTTGAAAGGTCATTGCCAACCTAAAGATCATAACTTTCTTCTCACTCCTTTTGGAGATAAAAAGCATAGGTTTACATCAGAGTGGTACAAAGAAGGTTCATGTTGGATGGAATATAGTGTGGCAAAAGATGCAATATTTTGTTTGAATTGTTATCTTTTCAAACCCGATTATGGTGACCAAGCAAGTGATGAAGTTTTTGTGAATAAGGGATATAATAACTGGAAAGATAAAGCAAAAGTGAAAAAACATGTTGGTGATCATTCTAGTACTCATAACCAATGTCATGCCAAGTGTGTTGATTTGATGAACCAAAGGCAACACATTGATGTAAATCTTGCTTGCGTGTCGAAAAAGGGCAAATTGGATTATCGCATTCGCTTGAATGCATCAATTGATTGCATTAGATTTCTTTTACATCAGGGATTAGCATTTTGTGGTCATGACGAGTCGGTTGAATATGAAAATCAAGGTAACTTTATGGAACTATTGAAGTTTCTATCCAATCATAATGACGACATAAAGAAAGTTGTGCTGGGAAATGCTCCGAAAAACCATCAAATGACGGCCCCCAAAATCCAAAGGCAACTAACTAGTGTTTGTGCTCATTTGACGACCAAGAAAATTATTGCAGAAATTGTGAGAGATAAACAACTATTTTCTTTACTAGTTGATGAATCTCATGATGTGGCAGTGAAAGAACAAATGGCTATTGTTTTTCGCTATGTGGACAAAATGGGTTGTGATATTGAATGTTTTATTGGGATTGTGCATGTTAAGAATACTTCTGCAAAGTCTTTAAAAACTGCAATAGATGCCTTTTTTGTGAAGTGTGGATTGAGTTTGACAAGTTTACGGGGCCAAGGTTATGATGGAGCAAGCAATATGAGGGGTGAGTTCAATGGTTTGAAGACTTTAATATTGAGAGAAAATAAATTTGCTTTCTACACTCATTGTTTCTCTCATCAACTCCAATTGGCGCTAGTCAAAGTTGTAAGTAAACATTCAGCATTGGGTGAATTTTTTCAAACTCTTTCTATGTTATCAAACACTGTGGCAGCATCTTGCAAGCGCAGAGATCTTCTACGTGACAATCAGTATGAATATGTGATATCTTTGATTTCTAATGGTGATATTCAGACGGGACGCGGTTTGAATCAAGAATGCACTATTAAACGACCAGGAGATACACGTTGGGGTTCACACATAGGGACAATTCATAGTGTCATAAACTTATTTTCTTCTGTTGTTGGTGTGCTCAGAGTGATTGAGATTGAAGGAGATGATTGGCAAAACAAAAGTCAAGCAAGGAGTTTATTACGAATCATGGAGAATTTTGAATTCGTCTTTTTGTTATTCTTGATGAAGAAAGTATTGGGAATCACATATGAACTGTCACAAGCTTTACAAAGAAAAGATCAAGATCTCCTTAATGCCATGCAGTTTGTACAAATTTCGAAGCGTCAGTTGCATAAATTGAGAAATGAAGACACTTGCTTTGACATATTTTTGAAAAAAGCTTATGATATGTGTAAAGATAATGACATACCAATCCCGGAGAACATGGAAGATAATTTTGGGAGGACAAACTGAGGGATTGCGCCAATTACGAATACACATCATTTTAAGGTGGAATTGATGTACATAGTTTTAGATAACATTCAAGGAGAACTCAATAATCGTTTGGATGAAGTAAATATGGGGTTGCTTCAGTGTATGCCATCTCTTGATCTAAGTAACTCTTTTGCTACATTTAGTAAAGATAGATTACTTGAGTTTGCAAAGTTATATCCTACCGATTTTCCTCAACACGATATTTGGTTCCTCGATAATCAACTTGAAAACTATTATGAGGATGTTAGCACCAATGCCAATTTCACTCATGTTGATGGGATTGCCGATCTTGCAAAAAAAATGGTTGAGTTTAAGAAGGATGTTGCTTATGACAAAGTTTTCTTGCTTATTAAATGAGCACTGGTTTTGCCTGTGGCTGCTGCAACAGTTGAAAGGGTGTTCTCTGCAATGAATCTTCTTAAGAATAATTTGCATAATCGAATGGGAGATGAGTGGATGAACAATTGCTTAGTAGTTTACATTAAAAAGGAAGTTTTTGCTATAATTCAAAATGAAGATATCATTGAACATTTTCAGAACACAATGAAGCAGAAAATCATGTTAAATTGAAGATCTTTAGGTATACTATTCTAACTTGCTTTCATCTTTAAATAATCAATATTCATATTATTTAGGTCTTTAGGTATACAATTCTAACTTGATTTTTGGGTCAATACGTACAGGATGTGTGGATCTTTAATATAGATGGTTGAGTTAGAATGTTAACGTCTGGATTTGGATTTGGAGTGATTGCAATCCATCTCTTTGTAAACCTTTGTGTTTACTTTTGTTAGAGTTGTAATTGAGCTCTAAATTTGTGTAGAAACTTTTTTGGTGGATTTGTGGTTGTTGTAAACTCTTTTGATTATATTGGATTTAAGTGGGTCATTAGATTCCCGTGGTTTTTTTATCTCTTCACATTGAAGAGGTTTTTCCACGCAAAAATTTTCTTGTGTTTCCTTGTGAATTATTTTCTTATGTTTACACTACTTGATTGGCAAACAGTGGCGGAGCGACGGACCCCCCTTGGGGAAAAATCCTGGGTCTGCCATTGTCGCTAAGAAATGCTCTGATCTATGGTAGCATTCCATCTTACATTGGAAAATATAAAAGTTTACAGACTCTGTAAGTTAGTATTTTTTATTGCACAGAGTGTGTCTCTTCTTGCTTGTTTGTGTCTTATTTTATTTTTTTTCTCTCTTGGCAGGGATTTGAGTTTCAACTCCTTAAGTGGTCAAATCCCTAGTGCTTTGATCAGTATTGATCCCCTTACTCAACTGTAATTTTTTTATATACTTCTCTCCATCAATTTCAAGATTTGAGTACTTCAGTTTTATCTTAGATTTTGGTCTGACCCTTATTCTTTCATTTAATAAACCTTTCTTTTTTCCTCTTCCTTTTCTGTTGCTTCTCTTCTACACAATTTCAATGGCCAGGTTTCTTGGAAACAACAGTCTGTCAGAAGGACTTCCTCAGTAGAAAGGTGTAAAACTTTAAACTGTGTAAGTCTTCATTCAACGGTATTTGGTCAAACTGAGCATGGCAATTGTTACATTCACTTATGTTGTGAAATTATGCCTAAATCTATTTCAACAAAATGAAATTAGTCGTCTCTAATTCATAAAAGCAATTTGAGTTGTTTACTGATTTGTTCCTTAGTGTTATATATACATGTTTCTTACTAAATGGTGGTTATCATACTCTTTCTTGCAGAGATTTTTCTTACAATTATCTATCAGGAAATTTTCCCGAGTGGGTGAATAGTACTGCAACGCCGTATGTCTCTCACCATGAATCCACTTTCCTTGGTTCTTTAATTTATAATAATTTACATGATTGCATGAAAGTATCAAACACCAATCTTCATGGCCAACACTTATTGCTGCTGGTAACCCGGTGATCTCTTCCTTTTTGGCACTCAAAAGAACTAATATCATGGGAAAAAGCTCAATTTTGATGACTTTGTAATCTAGGAAACTATTTCTCAAATTTTTATTTACATTTAGCATATAATAAAATATCATTTTATCTCTAACAAGTATACTTCAAACTTTGATATATAATTGATCATTAATTACATTGAATTGTATAGGAATCTAGTGGGCAACAACTTCAAATTTGACAGCTGAACATCAGGTGTGTTACAATTCCCTTTAGGGACATGCTTCTTTTTGAATTTTCAATAAAGAAAACAGTTAACTTTGCAAAATTGAGAGCATTTGCTAAAAGAAAAACAGAAACATAAAATGCAAGATTTTCCTCTTTACTGATTGAATGAGTAGTTTACAAAATGTTCGAACCCTTAAAGAAAATACAAAGTTCAATAGCTACAATTAGTAAAGGTAGGCAGTGAGCTGATTTCTTTCACACTTAAGTGACACTTAAAACGATGTCACTTTAGTAGAATTATCAAGCAGATCCTTGTCAAATAATATCTGACATTTTGATCCAGATGCCCACTCAAACCGAGCTTGGGTTAATTCTCAAACATATCCTTGGTTCTTGTCATCTTACATTTTGATCCACATGCCCACTTAAACCGAACTTCTCTAACTTCATAGTCTCAATTGAATCAGCATCCTATTTAATAAAACATCCAATAGCCATTGCAACAGAACACAAGGAAAATCCATTGATTGCAGTAAAACAATAGTCTCAACAGGTATTGCAGTAGAACAAAGAGAAAATTCATAGACTCCATCAATCATTGCAGCAGATTTGTTGATCTCAGTTTGTAGCAAAACACAGAGATTGCAGCAAACCTCATATCCTAACATACATTGCAGCAATAACACACAGATTCCAGATTGTAGCAAAAAGCATATAGATTCTAGATTACATTTAGAAACATTTTAGTAGACCACTGATTTCAGCTGCAAAACACACAGATTCCAGATTGTAGCAAAAAAAACACAGATTCCAACTAAAAAAAAAAAACATACAGATTCCAGCTGCAAAAACATATAGATTCCATATTGCATTTAGAAACATTGCAGCAGATCACTGATTTCAACCGACACTGCAGCAGAAGACAATACAGTAGGGCAGTTAGCTAGAATAGGGCAACTGAATAATAGTAAGTTTTTCCTTCAATTCTTGAATCTAAACTGTAGAGAGTTCCTTTGTTAATATATCAGCAATTTGTAACTTTGTAGGTACATATTGAACCAAAAGATGCTTAGCCAAGACTTGATCTCTTATGTAGTGCGTATCAATCTCAATATGCTTAGTCTTGGCATGAAATACAAGATTCGGAACCAAGGCCCCTACACTAAGATTGTCACACCATATGATTGGTGCTTGAGGAAAAAGCAGGCCTAATTCTGAAAAGATATTCTTCAACCATGCAACTTTAGTTGTTGTGTGAGCTAATGCCCTATATTCAACCTCGGTAGAGGACAAAGCAACTACCTTTTGTTTCCTAGAGCTCCATTGAATCAGATTGGGACCTAAGAAGATACAATATCCACTAGTAGACCTTATATCATAAAGATTGCGACCCCAGTCAGTATCAACATAACACTCAATATTGAAGGAAGCTGTTGGTCTAAACTGAAGGCCATGATTCTGAGTGCCTTTGAGATATCGAAGAACTCTTTTGCATTCTTGCCATTGTATTTCGGTAGGAGCTTGCAAGTATTGACTTAATTTGTTAACTATGAAACTGATATCAAGTCTAGTAAGTGTGAGATATTGCAATACTCCCATTGTGCTTCTATACAAAGTTGGATCCTTAAATGATTCACTATCCCCTGCAAATAGCTTGGTACCTACTGCTAGTGGTGTGGGACAAGGGTATGCATCTGCCATTCTTATTTTCACCAACAAGTCAAGAATATATTTAGTTTGTTTAAGATGCATACCTTGATCAATTTTAACAACCTCTATACCAAGAAAATAGTGAACTGATCCAAGTGTTTTAAGAGAGAATTGAGCATTAAGATCTTTGATCAAAGTGTGGATAAAAGTCTTGTTGCCTCCAGTTATTAAGATATCATCTACATAGATGAGAAGGTATGTCTTTTGATCACCTTCTTGAAAAATAAATAGGCTGGAATCTGTCACTGAATTCTGAAAACCCTTACTTAATAAAGCTTGCTTTAACTTGTCAAACCAAGCCCTAGGTGCTTGTTTAAGACCATACAAGGCCTTTTCTAACTTACATACAAAGCTAGGATACTTAGGATGCTCAAAACCTTCAGGTGTCACATGAATACAATTTCATTTAGAGTCCCATTCAGAAAAGCATTATTGATGTCTATTTGCTGAATATCCCACCCATTTGTGACAACCAGTGTAACAACTATCCTAATGGTGGAAGGTTTAATAACGAGGCTGAATGTTTCAAAATAATCAAGCCTTGGAGTTTGCTAAAACCCTTTAGCAACCAACCTAGCCTTGTACTTTTCTAGAGATCCATCTTGATTATACTTAACTCTAAAAACCCATTTGTTGCCTACAATATTCATATCACCAGCAGGAGGCACTAAGGAGTAGGTATTGTTTTTAGGTAAGGCTGTATATTTATTATTCATTACTTTTTGCCATTCAAGACTTTATAATGCCTCTTTAACAGAGATGGTTCAGGAACAACAACAGAGGTAGAGAAAGATACTAAGCCAATTTTTGGTTGAGGAAGACACTGGGATTTGGTTCTTGTTATCATCGGATGGGTATTGTCACTAACTAATGGATAGGCAGCAGTAGACTGTGATGGATTAGTAACTATTTCAGGATGGCAGTGGGAAGAAGAATGATTACTAGTGGAAGTGTGAGTAGGTAAGGTTGAGTAGGAAGTAAAATCCATAACTAAAGGACAAGTTTGAAGTGATTTTGATGACTTAGATTGGGAGTTTGAATAAGGGAAGTAATTTGTTTCGAGTCGGGGCTATAAAGAAGGTGATTTTGAAGCAAGAGATACATCTGAAATAGGAGAGGAGGATTTAAATGTTGAGAGTGAATCATGCTGATCATTTGCT